TATTTAGTGAACAATCAATAATCAGAAATGGATTGATGTCTTTTGAACATTTCGACTCTCTTTGAAGTCCTCAGCAAGAATGATACAAGTATAATTAGCTCACATGTCCATAATGTTTAAGTTACTCATAAATTGACAAAGATGCAGCGTTGTTAATCTGACATTTTTTTTTTAAATAAATCTTATTATAGTTATTTTTTTTGTTATTGTTTAAAATTCGAGAGTCCTAATATAATATTTATTATTGTTATATCCAGATATTATCATGTCCAAAATTGAAACATATAAGGCATCACTTAGACATTTATGATGTCTTTCAGACATCATAAAATATTTTAGAACACTCACCTCGAAAAGTACGTGGCATCATTGATAAATGGACGCGACAGAGTTCTATTTCTGATAAGAAATTACACAGAAAGAATGTAAAAGAAGCAGTATTATAAAACGAGATTCCCCATTCACTCAAGTAACAATATAAATAAAATTGAGATAAAATTGAGTGCTGTCCAGCGAGAGACATAGATAACACAGTAAATGAATGAATCATTTCGTCTTTGTTTAATGTTGACAAACAAGGATGTAATGATTCATTGTGTTACTGTTATCATTTGTATACTCAGCAAACAGAAAGTATGTAATGTACCTGTTAGTTGTAGTAATTTCTTATTCAACAATATAATTATAATATAACATACGTGTTATATATTACAGTTATATTGTTAAACGGGAAATTGCAACTAACAGGTGCGTTACATGTAACTTTGTGTTTGCTGGGTAATGACTCTTGTTAAAAAACACCCATGATCTTAACTGATATAAAAATTTTGGTAGAATCTCATTCAAGATATCGTCATCTTATTATAATAATTAAGTAAGTTATTTGAATAAATTTTTCAACTTCCTATTTGTGTGTATTTCAGATAAAGAACTCACATATGTAGTATTCATTCAGTTATTATAAATACAAATGTATTAACTTTTCGATCAAGCACTTATATTAACAACATGATATAGTTTTCATAATTTTAATATAATACCATCATAAATCAGATACATAAAAAAATTGATGCAGCAAAATAAATCTATTTACAATCTACAGCTTATACACTTTTTACAGTAAATGTTCTTGTGTCTTACTCTAACATGATTATATACAGAACGTGTCTCTAAATACAGATAAATGTTTATAATGGAAGTATATTGCATAATGCAAACAAGATAAAAATATAAGTATTAACATTTTAATATTAATTCTAATAAATTATTTTACAATCTTGTTAAAATATTGAAATGAGATGTTTAAGATGTTTGCTGTTTGCGATAGGCACGATGAGATAGGAATCATTTGATATAATTATAAAGTAATTTTTAACAATTATTGATCATTTGTATTTTGTATGAAAGTCACAGATTAAAGCAAATCAAAATAATAACATACGATTAAAAAATGTTATAAATATTATAAAATATTGATACATTTATACAATAATTTTTTAGATTTTAGCGTAAAATCTGAATATTCGAAAACTTTCTTAACTTTACTGATTTCACACTTATTGCAACAGTTATAAATACACAACAGTTATCTTTTTATCAGCCGAAGTCTAGTATTGTTATAGGCAAACAGAATAAAAGGTGCAAGACAAATTAGTAGTAATAATAATAATGAATATTATTAAATTTTTTTATGCGTCACGAATAATTATTCGATATCGAATTTTTTAATTGAGTGGACAACACGTGCATATCTATAATTTGGCATACATTCACACGCACCTGCACGAATATACAACATATCTACATGCATATTTCTCTTACATTATACCATACATAGTACCGTACGAGTTAATATGATAAAGAACTTCTTTCTTATTTAATGAAAGAAAGTAAGATCTTACAATATAATCGTCATTAATAATAAAAATTAAGATACATTCGCCGATGAATCTTACACTATCGAAGATCCAGCAATTATTAAAGTTATTCTCTCTCGAGTAATACAAAATCGATTTTCATATCAATTTTGTCTTCAGTCTATTCATTATATTCGATAAAAATTAATATTTTATATATGATAATTATGTAATATTTGTGATAAAAAACAGGCCAATTATTCGATACTGATTATTGGAATTTGGATCCGTGAACGTTATTTGTATGTTAAATAACTCTTTACATAAATGCGAGTATCATGTGCTCTTCAACTTTTGTTAAACATTTCACAACAAGATGTTAGAATTGCTGTTAAAGCAGCAAGTAAAAATCTAGTTTGCGCGCTATTCAACTTTAAAATATATTTCTATAGGATACATATGTGTTAGATATTAATCACTTTCTGAAATGTCCCTCCATGTAAAATTCATGTGTATACGATCATGTAAATGTTTCACTAAAATCTTGCAGTATATATATATATATTTCATAATAGTGCATTCCAAGTACAGTAAACGTTATTACAATGTCAAATCGCGATACATACACAGTATATAAATAATAAATGAATAAATATTTAAAAAATCGCAACAGTTTAAGAAAATTCATTGTTTTTATACTATTGTCACTTATTTTAAAATTCGGAGAAGAAATTTCAGTGTTCATTGGCAATCAATCATCTTCGGCAATAAAACTATAAGAATTTTATTTCCGAACTTAAGAATTGAAAGAGTTATCATTTCGTATTCTGAGTTCAATTTTTAATGTCGTTCGATAGGCGGAAATAATTATTTGCAAAAATAAAAATTGTATAAAATTCTTCTTTCGTACGTTAATTGCATAGAAATTATATCGCGGTTTCAATTCTAGCTTAGAATTCTTCTGATCACAATCGCCGTCGTGATCGAATCGCAATTTCACATCGTTTCAAAGCGCACTTAAATGATTTATAGAGTCGCGCATTGGCGTCGGATATCGCTTCGGCCGCTTCGAGCATGGGAAATAAACTTAAGCAATACAAAACAATCCGTCTTCGTATTCTAACGAGCGAGTCGTCAGCTTTCGCTCTCCCGTGATTTTTGCTCCGCAATTATTTGCCGAAGATCGCGGCTTTCTGCCGGAATTGCTCTCGCCTCGCCGCTTTTTCTTCCTCCTCTCGTTTCCGCTCCTCTTGTTCCATGCGAATCTCGTCCTCGAACTTCGAGGCCTTTCGTAGCTGTTCAATCTGCGAAAAAAAGAAACGAAAAAGAAGAATTTTTAATCGAAATACGTCTCGATCGAGTTACGCTTTCGCGCGTGTATTTTTTCTTCAATGCGCATGATACGCTGAGATTTCTGGGCTTAATCCGTGTCATTTATGTAAATAGAAAACACGTGTTGCGTCCGTTTGAACGATAACAAATAAGACAAGATTTGATAAGAAGCTATATTTTTTTATTATGGCTATGAGATTAGTAGTTATTGACTCTTTATATTAATGAAGAAATTTAAGTCTTTATTCTTAATTTATATTATAATGAAGAAATATAAGTCTTCATTCTTAATTTATATCTTTCATTTATATTTTCAATTATTCTTATATTCTAAATACATACGTATATAAAGTGTTTCAAAAAATATATGTAATTGTACATTGCAAATTGCACATCTTTTTTAAAAAGCAACTATATGCAGTTTCTTTACATCAATTGATTTATCTCATTATTCTGTGCATAAAAGTATTATTAAAAGGTTCATACCTTATTAATATAAAAAAGAAGTTTACTTTGACATTTAAGTAATTTATATTTCAGCATAAAAAGAAACTGCAAAATATTTGCGTTCGCGATAAGAGATACTGAATATGAATGTATACCTTGGCCTCGAAGAAGTTCTTAGCGCCTGTGACACCGACCTCGTCGACATCGACCTCGGTGAGTCTGGCCAGCTGGCTCAATCCGGAATCCTGTTCTAACTCACCAGCTCGTGCCTTACGATAGATCAGCAGAAACTGTAACAAGATGTAACTGTAATTACAAGGAACATAAATCAAAGTTGCAATATATGGCAAACTTTGAAAAACTGGGTCTGACTTTCGATCAATTCTCGAGTGTTGTTTCTTTTGAAAATAGAATTTAAGATAAGAGTCCACGACCCGATTCTATTACTACTCTTGAGATAACATCGACATAAACATACGAATCATATTTATGTAGAAGACAACTTCCGTACAAAACAACGAGTATTTTATCTGACAAATACAGAATAATTATATAATTATATATTATATATAGAAGAAAACATTTTTCTGCAACTCTGCTTGATTCGTTTACATTTTGACAAAAGAATCGTCGTTTTCTTAGTTAAAAAAAACGTCCCACAGAAATTATTTCAAATAATAAATAAAAACTAAAAATATAAGGCAAAAGGATGATTCATCAAATAAAAGTATGATCGATGGAAATTTGATTACGACGTTTATGAATGTAAAGCGTGACGAAAGAAGGGGGTACGTGTCGCGAACGTTTTACGGTAATTCATATCGCGATGAGTAAGAGGAAGGTGAGTAAGCCGGGCAATAAACTATAACTCGGGTATCACGCAATGAATCACGGCAGCGATCGACGAGCGGGACGAATTATGCGTGCACGCATCGTGTATGCAGGATTGATTCGCGTGGCGGGTTTTTTGTTCGCGAAATACGGAATATCACGTTCAATTGTCCCCACGTGCATTACGTATTAATTGCCAAGTCAAATTCTCCTTCGAACGATACGTGACACCCGCACACCATAGTCTTACTCGCGGCCGTATCGCGGCCGTGTTGTATTAACAGCGAAAGTTTCTGCTGACGTTTCGCACGCTCCGGTATTCCGCAGGCGTGTGTTGCAAAACCATCGTCGTGTCGGTTCTCCACCATTGATTTCGCACTATTGCTAGAGCGACGAGTAGCAAGCTTAATTCTCGTGATATTTTCGTATCATCATTATATCTGAATATTTTTAGAAAATCGATTTCTGGAAGTTCAGCATTTGGTAGACGGTATGCATTCGCATCGATAATTTCTCTGCAGCGTTTGCACTTTTTCACAGAATATCCTAGTTCGGTTATAAAATTTAATTAGAAGTTAAATTGTAAAGTATTCCTAAATTGAGAAGTATTTGAAAGTAAAAATATGATTGCGATTTCATTCTTTCTTGTATGTTACATTTTTCATCTACTGACGTTATATAACAGTGAAGGCAATTAACGCAGAATTAAATTTCTAGCTAAATTAAATTTCTAGAAAAATTTGTTTTTAGAAAAATGTTTTTGTTATATTTTTTTGTAGCAGGCAATTTTTCAAAGGCTTTTAAAATACTTTATCATGTAGATAATCGAAATAGAACTACAACGTATCTCTTCTAACGTACAGTTATGCTTGAAGAGTAAACACGATCGTCGAATATCCAGTGAGTGAAACGTATGGTAAATATTACATGGAGTCTACTATTTTTAAGAATAACGTATCATATATATGCTCGCTATAAATAAAATTTGCAAGTCTGATTAATTAAAAACAAATTATAAGTTTAGCGAAGATTACTTTTTATGGAAATATAAAAACGTGAAATCTCTTATATGATAATATATATTTGCTATAATTATTTAGATATCTAACTATTTATGTATCTATATTTGTTTTAATTGGTACGAAATAAAATATACTCTTTGCAAATAAAAAAAAAATTTGCAAATATTGTTAAAACTGAGGAGTTATTTTATTTTAATTTGAACGCGCTTCTTGGAATCATGTAAATTGTATGTGTTTCTCGACAAGAGCTTTCGCATAAGAGCAAAGCTGCACGGAGTGAAATCTATTTCGGTTCAATATTTTTAACGACCGCAAGCGGAGTTGCGAGAAACACTAATGCTGGTCAGGATAGTCGTACAGACGTTATGTTTACGTCAACTATTCGGAGTCGATAGCATGAAGTGTGTTAACCAAATCACATTTCCAAACCACATTTGTCTGTTGTAAAATCCATTTTTCAAATCTCTAATATATTCTCAGTAAAATTTAAAGAATTTTCAATAAACTGCGATAAAAATTTTAATAATATGCAAAAATCTATGAATATTTATTATATATTTTTTCTTTCACAAAAAATTAATTTCTGCAGTTTATTAATGAATATAATTCGCAAACATTGTAATTCTTGTTGTTATCAATTTATTAAATCCATTAAAATAAAATTATTGCAAATTAGTGCAAAATCATGGTTTTATTTTCTTCTTAGTAAAACAGAATAAAAATTTGATTATGGAAAATGGATTTTTCATATTAATAACATTCCTCTTTTGTTCCTCTCAAAATTCAAGAGGAATGATTAATATTCATCGTTCAGTTCGATCATTGCTCATGTTCGTCAGTTCCAAATATTAAAGATTTCTCGAAGATGGTAAAAATAAATTAACCTCACGGAAAGATATGCGACCGTCGCCATCCTCATCGACCTCCTGGATCATCGCTTTGAGTCCAAGATGCGTCTGCGGTGCACCCAAAACTTCCATCATTCGCTTCAGTTCGGTAAGATCGAGGAAGCCATCACGACCATCGTCAAATCTGCAAAGTTTTAACAATTGCAATTAGCAACTTAAAATGTTTATTGTACTGTTTTTCATCCCAAATCTTCTAAAATATCATTTTTATTTCTTAATTTTTCTGTCAATAAAATTACGAAGCTGATGAGACAAGAGTATTTTGGAACTAAAATGTAAAATTTTAAAATCTTGTTTTTTGTTCGACATTTCAAAATAATTTTATTTTGCATTAAAATATATCAATTACAATTAGTATAAAATAAATTTGATCTCAAATTCTTTAGTATAATTAACATAATTAAAAAAGTATCTAACACTGGAAATAATTTGAGAATAAAATTATCGATCCGAGATACGATAGACACTTGCATTCATATATTAAGTATAATACTATATATATAATCTGTTTTGCTGACTGGCAAATATTTTACCACGACCTCCTTTCGCTACGTGAAGTGGCATTTTTCAGTGATTGACCCACCAATAAATCATCGTGATGACACTAGTCAATGAGATGTCGTTAAACGTGTCGCATGTATAATCTCCTCTAGTTAATGTTAATCAGTTAATCATGATACCGTGTGTAATTTAATCGCCGGTCATTGAATGCGGTTGCATGAAGGAACAAGGAAAAAAAATTTAGGACGATGTCATTACTGTCGAACGAGGTTCGACTATTAAAGCGAATCCGCTGGAAAAATCGGTAGAGATTGCTTCAATCTCGATGTTGTCGTAATAGTCTTCCTATTTCACAGAATTCGAGAAACTGTTGTGAAAGAGAAAATGGCACATGTGTTAATGAAGTTCGTTGCATTTTTGTGATTTAATGATTCCGCGAAGTAAACAATGAAAGTGAAACGTGGAGTTGGTACTACATGTGTGTATATAGTAAATTATAAATAGGTGATGCTAAATCTCTCATTAAAATCAAACTGTTTAATTGAGATTTAAAAAATAAATTAAAATCTTGATTTTTAATTCTAATACAAATTAAAAAAATAATTAAAAAATTCACGCTCAATTAATGTTGTATTTTAAATTTACTCGCGACAGGGTTTTAAAATATATTTATTATACCAATAACATCTGCGACATTATCTTTTATTCTAAATTATTTTATGCTTAAAAATATAGCATAAAAATTGATATCTTTCTCTTGTCAGTACAGAGTAAAATTTAGAGAAAGGTATCGATTTAATTTAAATAATAATTTTTAGTGGGAAAATCGGACTTCTTCGACAGTCAAATGACAGTCATGTTCTCCGTAACTGATGTCCTCCGTAACACAGTGATTGTTTTAAACGCGGCCATCATTAATATTCGCGACTTTCTTTATGTTTATTACGAGGACAACGTCTCGTTGGCCGCAATGTAAAAGGTAATACATTTAATAATTAGAACGTCTCTTGTAGAAAGCGGATAGGTTGACCAAGATTTTTATTTGTAGACAAATTTGCATTTTCCATATGCGTAACTTTGATCATTGCCGATGTAACTGCCAATTCGATATGCTACTTCTTCTTTTTTCAGACTTTTTGCGCGACTGTAAATATCGCGCTGTAAAAAAATTTCGGTCCAGAATAGCTGTCTGTCGTTGGGATTTTATTACATGTTATCCTGTGTGCGGCATCGTAAATATACAAAACGAGAAAAACGATTTACTCCGACGGCGCTTTTCCCCGCGCAACTGTTTGACATTATTAATCTCGCTCTTTAGTTGCGCAAAATGTTGAAAAAAATATGGGCGTATGCATTAAAGGTTAAGTGGATCACGTCCATGTTATAGAAATACCGAGCCATGCAATTTTATATGCAATCCGCGGGGAACATCCTGTAATCCTGTAATGAAGCTCTCGGTTGAGTGCTTCTGTGAGACAAAATCAATACATATCTGACCGGAATTATCAAATTAATAAACATGATATGCTTTCATCATTAACATTATTAATTAAATATTGAATTGGTTCTAGTCTCAAGTATGGAATTAATTAACGTAAAAATACATGATCAATTATTTATTCGTTATTCATACTGATTGTTTAATTGTAATAAATATAGAATAATTAAAATATAAACTAAAATAAATAAAATTATATAGAAAAATCTATTTTTTTATTGGTGCAAATTTTATGAGATGTTTAAGGAACATAACTGTTTCGTGAAACATTCACAAAAGAGCAAGGCTGAATGCAGACGAAAAGAAGTGTGAGAATCTTCCTAGAAGCCTGTATCTTTGTATCTATCAGTTTGTATGTTTTAATTATCGAGGAGTTTAGACACGACGAGAGTGAAAACTGAGATCGGGGGAAAACGTGGGAACGATCGTCGATATTCAAATTTGTGAGTCTCTCGACAGGATGTCAATCTTATTTGTTGCCAGTAATTTCGCGACCGGAAATTCGTGAAATCGTAACTTTCCGTAAAAGAGATGGAGAATGCCATGGCATGGCACGAGCTTATTCTAGAACGTGAGCTCGTTTCATCGAAGTATATCAGGATTGATCCATTTATTTAGTACGATCGAACTAGCTACACTATCTACACTCATACACTACAAAAATTTCTGCATTAAGAAAAAAAAATAGTTGCAATTATCATAATTTAACTATAAATTCTAATCATTTTCAATGATTAATGGTACATGTTTTTGATAAAATTATAAATATAATTATTATTATTAAAATTATAACATTATAATAACTGTAAATATAGTAACGATAATTATTTTGTGCAATTATAATCGCAAAATAAGCAAACAGGTTTTCTTTCAGTGTTCTAAGTAAGAAATAAGGTATAAGCAAATAAAAATACTAGCAGAAACGTTTGATAAAATCCTGATCTGTAGATAATTAATGACAGATAATTGGATACTTGGTTTCAATTAGAGATTGATAATAAAATTTTAATTTTTTGAGAATAAAAAATATATATGGGATATAAAAATAGTGTAAAGCTTGAACTGCAATCAGTGTGATATCTTCTATTGCGAATGTCATAAATCAATAGAGAGAAATCATGTTATATTATATAATCGACCTATATGTATGACGAGATGTAACTATCGCAGGTTAAAGACCACTTATACACGGCAAACCGGTCCTTTTAACTATCGTGATTAACAAGCTCCCACAAAAATTGACGTGGTCTTTATAGAAAAAGAGTAACGTTTAAGCTAATTCAGCAAATAGAGTGTAATGTCTAAAAGTTTCCTTTTATTCTTTCAATGTAGATCAATAATTTGTTATATCGTTGTAACGCCCATACTTTTCCTATCACATCCTGTCCGTATATACTTATATTATAATACTAATTAAATAAATTAAGCAGGAAGAAGGTTGAAAAATATTACCGCCATTCCGCCGGTATTTTTAAAGTTCGTTAGAGTATAGAAGAGCGGCAGTTAATAAAGGAAATTGCTTCCGCATTAGTTAACGACGTTAGTGCGAGGCGCCGGAAATTGAAGCGATGTAGGCGGGGAGGTATCTAAATCCTTTCAATTAGGAGGAATCGTAATTATTCTACTGAAAAGGTCAATATTTGCTGGAATCCCGCTGCTTCAAGCAATTAAACGTTCGAACATTAATCTATTCATTAGCTTTATGGATATGAATACATGTATCCGTACTTCACGCTGGAGCATATAATATAACTGTTATTACAAACGTTATAACCATTGTAACATGTAACAGTTAATTTCAACGTTATTATATAATCTTCTGCTCGCTGTTGACATTAGATTGAAAGAAGTAAGATAGATTGAAAGAACGAAGTGAATTGTAATCGAAACATTTCTGACCTTTTCCTTGGAGTTTTATCAGAGAGAATTGCAGATATTAACATTTAGATGAAGAAACAAATAAGAAACGTGTACAATAATAATTTGATTAAAATTGTCCTTCTTTTATTTCTTCACAGGCATTAGATATCAACAAGTAATACGACTGTCTCTTTTTTTCACTCTCTCGTACTCTCTCTTTTTCTTTCTATGCGAAGAGAGATTTCACAGAGTGAGAGGCGAAGGTTGAGATTGCATTTTTACATTGCGGTTAAGTGAGGTGATCGATAAAAGTAGCAGAAATGAGAAAGATAAAACGAGAGATACATGGGAGAAGTACTATTACTAAATCAGCACTCTATTAATAATAATGTTCTCTTCCCTTTTAATCAATAAATGCTTCTCGACTTAAATATATTGATATTTGTCGACCAATAAAAGTAAATAAAGTGAATAAAATCAATAAAGAGTACTGAGTAATAATAATTTTTTGAAAACGTTTATGACAATAGGAAGACATTTATAAATGCTATTTTACACGATTACGTTTTTGAATAAGAATTGAAAACATTACGCATTTATTTCCGATTCACTGTGAATATCATTATTACATCACTTTATTATGAATGATTCAATGCTCGATTGTCGCCGGACAGCAGATCGTCGTTCTCGGTTTTATCGAGAATGCTCTTGTCAGACAGTTTTAACCAGCCAAGTGAAACGCGCTCCAATCAACGTGAATTGTGCAGAGGCGCCCACGTAAATGAAATGCGATCGTTACTACGTTAAACGTGTCATGGATTTAGATTGACTTTGTGAAAGCTTAATTAAAAGATATATGCCGTGAACTAAATATAATAGTTAAAAATTGTAACTCTCTTGTTATCTCTCAGCATCGATTTTACGAAGTCAAACATAGTTTAACATGGCCCTAGTTTAATTTAACATAGTTCACAACATATATAATATAGTTTTGCCACGTATTATCAGTGGTTTGATGCCATCGTCCTAAAGGGGTTATCATCTAGTCACTCAAGTCATCTTTTTTTTATGTATCATTAAAAAGTCACTATTGTTCAAAATGGAATTGTTATAGTCATCTTTTTTTTGAGCTAATGTAGAATTTGTTAAACATAAGCATTCTCTGTTCATATTTTTGTTGTCTTATCTGATAACAATTGCTGACTCAATTTTGTTTCACGGATACTGATCTAATATTAGGTTTATCGTTTTTAAGTTTCAAATAGATGTAAAACTAAAAGACGACATGACTACTTATGAATTAGTTCTCCACATTCAAAGAATACGTTTCTGTTTTTGTTATAATTTTAAAAATTATCTATTTTTTATTACCTAATATTCTAATAAATGCGTTTATTCTTTTTCTTTATTTAGACAATAATGTTTAAACTTTTATTTTATTTGGTAAGAGGTATACTTATTGTATTCTATCGTTCAAACTTTTATTCTTTTTTTATTATAAATTTTCTAAACTATGTATATAAAAACAATTTGCTACATGTTAAGCAGTGTAGCTATTCAAAGATAAACTAAGAAAAATAAGAGTAAATGTTTTAATTACTCTTAAAATTTGATTAAAAACGTAATTTTTGGTAAATATTTTAACTCTTAAAAAGTTGCTTTTTGTTACTTTTTCTGTCAAAAAGTAGTCACTATATATATATATATATTTTTTTTTTTGGTCCGATAATTAAATGACAGTAATATAAAAGAAAAAAATTACTTTTTAATATTTATTATTATTTTGTGAAGGGAAGAAAATGCTTTATTTAGAAATTTAAAGGAATGCATAATTAAGGATTCAAAGAATTTACGTATATTATTTGGAGAGTGATTGATATCGTAGGCGCCTTTTTCCATCTTGCCTTTCTTTTTATTAATCGCTGCAATGTGAAATACTTAATTATCGCAACGTAACGATACCATTGCGCTTCTGATCTCGTTATCGCTGCGATATCGCGATCGTTCCGCCTCAGACTGGACTCGGTGGTGAACGTTTTGTTCTCCGCGTTACGTTTTCCAGGAGTAGCTCGGAGGAAACCGGGTCAAGGTAACATGCGACGTATCCGCCTGGTCCCGTTATCCTTGTTTTCCAAGATCGATACCGCGGTGGAAGGTCCTTCGAGGAATAACGTCACTGCGACGAATTGGCGACGTGTCTAGGAAGAGGACAAGGCTGACATAATTTTTTCTTCAATCGAAATTTAGGATAATCACAAATATAACTGTGATTTTCCGAGAAAGTTTTAAAGCAAAACGAAGATTAGGGGCTTAAACAATGTGGAACCAAAAATTGCGATAAATAATGTTTTGGTGAAAAAATAATAGACCTGGCATGGAACAATAATAGTCCTAGTTGATAATATATTTTCCTGATAAATAAATTTTTCATTTTCTTTTTATATTACTTTATATTTTCAAAATCGACAAATAATTGGTGCGCAATTTGCATGAACCGGAAATTTCATTCAATTTATGCCAAAATATTATTAGGTATCAAGATCTACTTTGACCAAATATTGCTCTCTTCTTTACTTGTTTATATTATTCATATATTAGAATTTGATTTTCGTTTATTATTGTTTATATTTTCTTGTGTAAATTTCGACACTTTAAGATGAGCAACAATATGTATTGTTTTTAGATACTCGTTATTGCGTAACTACAACTAGTAACGTTAATTTGATGTGTAAAATAAAAGTAGACCAGATTAATAAAATATCAAAATTAAATTCATATTTCGCGTTTATTCCGAAAGACTGAGAATTTCAATAGTTGATTAACGTCTTTTGTTAACTTATGGCATTATACTGCAAATGCTTTATCGCGAAAAGAGGAAGTTATTGTCCCGTTTAAGTAAAGAAACGTGTCGGATTTTCTTCCATTCTTAAGCTTCCGTCTATTCTATAATAACTAATTAGTATCTTTTTTCTCTGCGAGGGACACAGCGACTAACTTATTCTTAGTATGTGAGATTGCAAAGAGACGAATTTATACAGCGCACAGATTAGAATTCTGCAAAGCCAAAGGAATCGCGATGTGCATTGTGAACCGTGGAAGTGTCTCCTAAACGGGGATAAACGCCGTCCATGAAAAACATTGTACCTTTTCCCATCAACGAAACATTATTTAAAATGTCTAGCGATGTCGCTACTAGGAATATCGAATGCCTTCCATCGCTACAAAAGCCGAGCCATAGAATATAAATTCTTATACCGTTTGTATATTCGGAACGCATGATTTCTTTGAACGATCACGAGTGCAATAACGGTTTGTCGTGCCGCTGCAGGCGTCTAAGAATTATTAAACCTTTGAAAGAAACTAAAAATGGAGGAGAATCTATATTAAAAATTTCTTATCAAAATATTTTTATCTAATTATTTCTTAACGATATATCATGCATATCTAAAAGACGTCATAAAGGGATTTTGGAATATATATATACATGTCTAAAGATATCTAAAAGGCATTATGTAAGAGATCTTCTAAATAATACGTGTTGTCTGGGTCGTTTGAAGAATTGCAATATGTGATATTTCTGCAAAATATTCCTTGTGAGAACCCTGGAAAAATTGCGAAAGTTTTAAGATTGTAACACTCTAGTCAGAGATGGAATGTTGGTTTCTTCGTGGTATGCAATGCTTTCTACGTGGAGTTATCGATTTCGAGAGTACGTATATCTTGAATGCATATATATGCCATGCATACCTACTTCAGCGGCGAAAGGGTTAAGGTCATCGTTTCTCATTTACACATATAAAGGCGAATCGATCACACCTCGCTTTATCATTGCAACAGGGAAAGTTAAGCGCGCGTTCGATCGAGTCGTGGAAATCTCGACTTTCGACCTCGCAGTGCAAATCGATAAAAGTTTCTCAATAAGGGATACGAACGTATTTCTTCTGACGTTGTTTCTCTATTTCAGTGATATTTTTTAGGGGTCAGTTTTATAGAGCCATTTTTTAGAAGCAGAGAAAATTTTGTGGACCACAAAA